TGCCGGCCGTCTACCTGGCCGTGAGCCTGGCGGGGCAGCTGGGCAACGGGCTGGGGCTCTGCAACCTGTGCGCGAAGGCGCGGCGGCGGAGCTGGAGCCCCCTGGGCCTGCTGCTCTGCAACCTGGGGGTGGCCGACCTGCTCTACGTGGTCACCCTGCCCTTCCTGGTGGCCTACTACCTGCAGGGCAGGACCTGGCTCTTCGGCAGAGGAATGTGCAGGCTGACCCGCGGCCTCTTCCACCTCAACCTCTACGCCAGCATCGGCTTCCTGACCTGCATCAGCATCCAGCGCTACCGGGGCATCGTCTACCCGCTGAAGGTGCGGGGCAGGGGCCAGGCCCTGGGCCCTTCCCTTTTCCTCTGTGCAGTGGTCTGGGGCTGGGTCATCCTCCAGGTGTCTCCTGATTTCGCCTTCAGCAAGATGGATCCCAATGGGACACGGTGCCACGATACGACAGGGAATGAAAACCTGGGCAGATACCAGCTCTACATCCTGGCCATCACCGTGACGGGGTTTGTCATCCCCTTTCTCATCATCCTCGGATGCTACTGCCACGTGGTGGTGGTTCTCTGCAGGAATGGGAACATTGACCCCAGCATCAGAAGGAAGTGCATCAAACTGGCGGTCCTTGTGATGGTCCTCTTCTCCGTCTGCTTCCTCCCGTATCACATCTTCAGGAACCTCAACCTCTTGTACCGAACCTGGCAACACCAGGGGTTCTGCTCCCCGTCTTCAGGAAGCGTCTATGTTTCCTACCAGGTGACCCGGGGCCTGGCCAGCTTGAATAGTGCCCTGAACCCCCTTCTGTACATAATGACCAGTGAGGACTGTGTCTCGTGGATGAGGTCCCTCAGTCAAAGAGCTAGCCAGTCGCTGGGGTCTCTCTTACAGAAGGGAACCCAGCACCAACCAGATGAGAAGAAAGTGAACATCATTTTTAGCGAACAGTCTGAAGAGACTTCTGCTGCACTCTGAATTAGTTGGTTTTAAAATCCTCACCTTTTGTCTGCCTGTTTTGGCTTTCTAGAGTGGAAGCTCACTGGGGTATGGACTGACCCTTCTTCTTTTTAACCAACTGCACTTTGACTGTGGGGGTTACCACAGTCCATTACCAATATGGGTACCAAGCTTGTTGGTCATTGTCAGAGCTGATGAGCCCAAAATGATATTTACTGTAAAAATACTATCTACTATATATGTTTGGGGGTGTGAGAGAGGAATATATATACACATACAGTATATCTGTGTGTTATACAGTGAGAGAGAGTGGGTGAGTGCTGACTGCTCAGCTATGGCTTGTTTCTTAACTGAGGCAGGTAATCCTGCCACAAGGGTAAATCATTGCATCCCACCACTTTGCTTAACCAGTGTGCTTTATTCTTCTGATGAGACAGGGATTTGAACTAGAATTTTCTCCCTCCACCTAGGAAATGGAAATAGTTGTAATACTTAATTACCTAGCAGGGGTCTTGTAAGGGCTGACTTGTTTGTCAGCGTGCTGGAGAGGAAAATTACACATTATGCTAGCGCCTGATAGAGGTGCTAAGTATTTTATGTATTCTTAAGAAATGGTCACTCCTGAGCTATTTGCAGATGGCTAAATGGATGATTATACCATGCTTGGCTCTGTTAAAGTAGATTGTCTACCCTGCTAGGCACCTTCTTTGCAGAAATGTTGGGAAATGTGTGTTAGGGCTTCTAAGTCTTTTCTTCAAGATCATGCAGCCAACGACAGCACGTTTGTATTTGAAAGTTTCCAGAAGCTTTCATTTCATTATGACTGTAGAGTTCTGAAAGATGGCTCAAATGCTCCAGTGTCTGATTGCATTGGGGATTGCACTGAGGTATTTTCAAAATCTTTGGGTATTCAGTTGCAAGCACTCTTGTACACCTAGCTCTTTATTTTCAAAAAAAGAGGTGTGCCGTTACAGGCCTAATTTGTGCATGTGTGTAATGTTATTGAAGTTGTCATCATAGTGATGATACATGAAAACAGTCAGATGTGCATGTGGTCTTGTGCAAAAGCAGTTCTCCAAGTGACACGTGTGGTCATAACAACTGTGCATAGAAACTGGGACACCCAAAGGCATATATATTTTTCCCCAAAAAAGTTTGGTCCTAATGGATTTGAAAATGTTCAGAGATAGTTTAAAGAATAGGCATACCCAGCTGCATGCAAAATGAGCTCAAAGGTTTATGCCTAATATTTGTTTGAAATCCTAATAACCGTGTATTTGCTACACATTTTGCAGCTACAGACATATCTTACAAAATCTGTCCAAATATTTCATACAATAAGGACCTTAAATGTTGAATGCTGAATATGTTCTGTATTGCTTGATTAAAAAATGGGGCAAAAGCCAGATTCAAAAGAAAGTTTATAAGATTCAAGTTTAGTGTAATGAGAATTTAGGAAAGTCTATCCTAGATTTTCCCGTACAGGTTCAAAAGCTTTGTGTATGTTACAGCTGATGACACCAACTAACCATAAGGAAGTTGTATAAGAATTAAATACCTCGGGAGAGGCATTCTGTCTCAAATAGTACTGATTTCTTTACTCACCTTAATCGGTCAGTGTGTTTGGAGTCATTTTCAAATGACTCTTGCCTAAAAGATGGTAATGTTGATTTTTAGGAAGAGAAGTCATGAGTTCACTGCAGTGAAAAACCAAACAGGAAAAGGCCTAACAAGTAGTGAAGGTAATATTGTCATTGTCTCTATACAGTAGATAGATTGTCCCTGCAGGCACCAGCCATACTCAGCATAGTGGAGAAGCAAGAGTCAAGCTGGTATTCTTCTTCCTCTCTCCATCTCTTCTTGTTCAAAAAGCTGTAAGCCATTAAATGTTCTAGTTTTGTACAACTACTTAACTGTAAAAATCTTTTCTATTTGGAAAAACGCTGGATATTTATCTTATTCAGCTGCTGTGATGTACATCAGCCTTCGACATACACAAAGGAAACCCTGGCTATTTTTCATATTGAATTAATACATCACGCCAAGAGCCAATAAACACTTGGTGCTTCCAGTGATGAGTTGTATGGTTTCTTTAAAACTTACAGGAACACAAGCCAGCTGGTGGGGGTAGAACAGGAGACCTGAATGCCATGTCAGGGGAGAAGTGACAGGCTCCCTCTGCATCAAGACTGGAACTGTTTACCAACCCACTTGGCCAGACCAAGAGTAGTAGTCACTAAGAATAGCAATTACATAGAGGGGGATAGTGATGCCTTTGCTGGGTGGAGACGAGGCATGACCCTGGGCCAGCAAAGCACTTAAGTATGTAAATGTCAAGCTATAGAGAAGTCCTGCTGAAAAAGTATGAACTCTGAGCATTGGGCAGTCAAATGCTTCTTTTCCATTTCTGATTTCTGAAAAGGGGAACTTGCTGTGATTATCAGTGGCAGAGTCCCTAAGGTTGTCCACCTCCATGGTGGTACACTACCTTCCTTCTAATGCTGATTCCAGCCGATCAGAACAAGCACTGAACTGAACGGAGCTTGCTTTTCCCATAGCTTTGTCACCTCCATGCATACTCCAGTTTATGTCATCACTTCCAGATCCCCGCTCTCTCCCAGTTTGCAATTCTGACCAGTAATTGGTTAATTATGCTCTCCCCAGACTTGTTCTAGGGTTACTGTACTATTCTGATATGAAACAATAGAAAACCCCTGCTTCACCTCTTTACAAGGCTGTAGAAAAATCCAACCCGCATTCTGAAAAACAAACCCACTGAAAATCCATAGTCAAGTCATGAATGATTAACTGAACTAAGTGCAGACTTCTAGCAGAGGAACTTTTGAGACAATAAACCACTCAGCTGGTGGGAGGAGATAGTGGATCCTTATTGCCATCCTGCTTGTTATCAAGCAGCTGGAAGCCCAGGGAAGGTATTTACATATTTATAGTAAACATAACTGTAAGCCCTAGTGATAAATTAAGATTTACATTAATTAAGCATCAGCATTAACTTACATGTTGCACTATGCTGTTCTTATGGGGTTTTCATAGCACTAATATAAAGGCTACTTCTTTACATCTTTAATGTCATAAAGAAACTTCTGTATCCAAAAGGTGGAATTCATCCCTCTGTAGATGATCCATATGAAACCTCCTGCACTGCTTAAATCCCATTTAAGCCTCAGGTTAAAGGACTTTGGAAGTTTACACGTTCAAAGACCTTTGGATCAGGTCCTGAAAAGGTGCAGGACCAGTGGTCTGGGCGTTCTCACGGCCTTTGGCACAGTGGCAAATTTCACATCTAGGACGTGACTGGGTACAAAGTGTGTGTATACAATGTGGGTGTGTGCATGTATACAATGTGGGTGAAATTCACTCTAGCCCTGAGGATTTCTGCAGGCCAGTGGGATTTAAGTGTTGCACAGACCTTGCTATGAATTTCAGCTGGGGTACAGGCTGCATTCTCACTGGATAATGCTTATTTTCAAGTAATTACAAAAAGTTAAAATAAAAAAAAAATGAAAACAAGTTTTAGGCAGAGGTTCTGAGGATAAAATTAAGATTTTGGAAGAAACTGAGCAGTGTTCCCTGAAATTCTCAGTGAACGTGCTTCTCAAGCCCTACAGTGGCTCTTGTGAAATCAGTAAAGATGATTAATAAAGGGAGTGGCAGACTTCAGTGTGCATTGCTTGACTTTTTGCACTTTGTGCCACTCTTGGTGTAATCCTCAAGTGATTTTCTGTTTGCAAAGAACTGCATTTGGAAGTCCTCTCTACCTCTACAGCAAAGCACTCTTTTTATTGACTCCATATGTAATTTCAAAGAGTGCCTTTGGCACACTAGCCTGCATTGCTAAGATTCATTTCTGAGAAATCAAGCACAACTTGTAGTAAAGCCTGTGCACCTATGGTATAAAAAAAAGCAAAGGCCTTAAACTTTAATTAAAAAAAGGTTGTAAAGATAAAACAAAAGGCGTTGTGTAAAAGTGTGGGCTAGGAAAAGAGGAAGAATGTCGGGCTTTGTAGTAATCAGCGGTTACTGAAACAGCAAGAAAAGAGTGTTTTGTAATAAAGAAATGAAAATAATGTTTTTGTAACTGTTACTGCAGCTAGGTTTCTAAAAAATTTCACTATATGTTCACATGAATTGTAGGTGGCTGTTAAAAAGGTATATAAGCCTTTTGCTTTAACGTTTAGGGAGGGAGCCCCCTCCAAGTGCATGGTGAATCCATGTCACTTTGGGGCCCCTCCTACAGCTCTATCCAAATAAGGCTTAAGTATATATATATCTATACAACTAATTTTATGTTGTGTCCTCATGAACGTCCGAAGAACTAAGCAGAGCATTTCTAGTATCTCAAAGGAAACTAAAATAATGGTGTTGCAAAGGTGTGAGCAAATCGAAAGTAGAAATGAACGGCTCATCCATGTCACTTTGGGGCCCCTCCTACAGCTCTATCCAAATAAAGTTTCTGCTGACCTGACCCAAAAGTTTGCTGCGTGTGTTTTCCACGACAATTCCTGGTGCTGTGACTCGGATCCACGACACGGACTGAGAAAGGAGGACCGCAGACTGCTTCCCCTGATCCCTGTGGCGCCAAACTTAAGAGGTAAGAGACCTAAATTAAAATCTCTAATGGGGTTTCGAAGGAAGGCTGCCTGTAGGCTCCTGACTTGACTGTGGTAACTGGATCCGACCTTTATTGAATACAGGTCAGTTTAGAACCTTACTACTGGCTAGAATTTTCTGTCTGGAAATGAAAATAAGGTTTTTGTAACTGTTACCGCAGCTAGGTTTCT